CGGGTCGGGTTGTTTCAGACTCTCTCAATTTGTTAATGAAAATAGATTGTTTGAATCGCACAAACAAACTAATCTCGCGGCTTCTATAGAGTTAAGTGAATCGCACACTTAAATCTAAAGAAAAGAACACTCTTTGAAAAGAAACACTTTGAAAAGAAAACAAATACTTTTATTGAATCATGATTGAAAGGTGTTTTAGAAATGAGACAGAAATGAGCTTTTTATAGAGCTCTTAGAAGAATTAACTAACGGTCTAAAAATAATTACAAGAAGAAAATCGTGCATAATTAATCATACTAGCCGTTGGCCTCTTAATGGGTATATCTTGGCTAAATATGGGAATTCGTTGGTTTGCTTGTATCTGGTCAGCTTGGGGAAGATTCTAGGCGCCTTAGGAAGCTTCTGGTGGCTTGAATAAGTCCTCAAATCGCAGCCAAATAAATTGGGAATGAGCTGTTATAGTTTAATGACAAAGGGTCTGAAAAAGGCAAGTGACATTTTGAACAATATCCACTGATCCTGTGCATTTTAATAGAGCTAATGACATCTTGTAGAGTTTTTAGTTGATGTAGAAGATCTCCTGATCTCCAAAGATACGTTTGCAATCTCCCAAATTTGGAAAGTTCCAAATAAGGCAAGTCGAGAATGCTGTGGTTTAGAAATTGAATAACTCTTAAACCAAAATTCGCATTGTCATGAATCCAACTCGACGAGTTTCTTTGTTTGACCAAGATTCCATAACAAGCCGATTCGTAGCTTAAATCCTTCTGTTTTGATGGGAATCCTCCAATAAATGCTCGCATGTCCAAATTGGTAAAGTACAAAATCACCCGATTTGCAGGCTGAATAACTCTTTCATATGAACTCTGATTGTGATTATTCCACTTCTCACTGAGTTTATGATGAGTAACGTTTGTGGAATAATTTGATTTGTTGCTTAACTCTTCTTGGTTCGTTCAAAAGGCTCCTTGGAAGATACATATGTCCGGATTGGGTTCAATAGGCCTTGTGCATTCAAATTAATTGAGCTTTGGTTCAGCTATTGGTCTGATGAGTTCATCAGAGAAAAACCTCTGAGTCAATAAAGTGAGTATTTCATTGTTTATATGTTTTCGTGAATTTGGTGCCTCTGTTAATGAATTTGTTTTTTTTTTTATTGGGCTAACTTTCGGGGACCACGGTGTTGTAGTGCAATATGCTTAGCTTCAATACCTTTTCAATAAACAGCTATTGTGAAAGATTGTGAACATGCGTACATGAAATTTAGGTTAATCCAAATTATTAAGTCTGGTAAGAATTATGATTGATAAAAAAGTTTACAATTGATGTGGTTTTTGTGTGCATACGTATGTTACTAGTTTTTTTTGTTTAGAATAACGTTACTAGATGTTGGCATTAAAGATATATGTGTGACGATGTTGGATATATAGTTAAAACATTCATTCGGGTATAACTATGTCAAATCATGACTAAGTCGTCTTATAATGTGGTCTAGAATAAATTCTTTATGAACAAATCTCAAGCCATACATAAAATCATATTCTGCAAAAGCAATCTCAAGATATTATTTTTATATTCCACGAATTTACTATAATTATTATTCTGATAAACCACTCCAATTACATGACAAAAAAATTAGTATAATCTTAATTTTCTAGATACACATACAAAACGTTCAAGTATGAAAAAGAACCCACGCATATGCGCGAACAATCACCTAGTATATATATAACTAGGGATTGCCCACGCGTTGCGTGAGATTTATAAATTAAACATTAATAATTTCTAATTATTTATTATTTTTGTATTTAATGATATAAATTTGGTGTTTATAATAAATAATTATCTAAGTTAAAAGATTAAACATTTGTATTAAATTAATTGTTGGACATATACAATGTTATACATATAAAGAAATAGATCGTTCATTAATAAAATTTACAGAATATGTCCATTCTTACTCAAGTAATAGACCATTAACATTCTTATATTATATTCAGAGTAAAAAAACGGGTCTACCAATCTTGACTATACTTTTAAAACCATTTTTGCAGGGTGATGTAATCAATTGTTTTATAAATGGAACACGCATCAAACAACAGATTTAAGAGGTACTCATCTACTCAATAAACAGATTTAATGTGAACCACTCAAACAACAAATTCAAGCTAACTAATAATCCATTATACGCAGTCTAGCAAACACAAAGGAAGAACTTCTAGGTAAATATTAGATCTAACTTACCACCAACAGCTCTTGAGTTCACGCTAGTTGCAATGACAAGAAGAGGTGCCTCTTTTAGTTGGACAAGTTCTTCACTAAGCTGGCGTACGAGTTTTTCCGATACAGATATATAAACAGTCTCACCACTACATATGATATCAGAAATTACTAATTGTAATATGAATAAAGAGTAAGCAAAATAGTATGAAGAAATGTATGTCGCTATTTACACGTCAAAAGTACATGTCAGAGTAAGATTCAAGGAAGTCTTAGGAGGAGTTGTTGTCTCATCCACCTTCTGTGAAGTCCGAATACATGACACTTGTGTAATAACAGCTTCAAATGAGAGAAGTAGCGAAGTTAGCTTTACGAAACTGTATTAATTAAGAGTTTTTTCAGTTTAGTACCTGGTAAGTGCTCTTTTTTGTTTACCATCATTCCAAGGTCTGCAAATGGACGGATATGAAAATACTCATGGGGAATGTTGTATTGGCCACCATTGACATCTTCCAAAGCGGTATGGTCATTGAAGTAGATTTTATACGGATGATCAGTTAACTGATAGCAGTTAAGATTTTGCTTGACATCAAATGCGGTTATGGAGAAGATGTTCCCCTCTTTAAGCTTATTCCTAAACTTGTGTAGTCGACGGGGATGGATAGATGCATGTATTGATGAATTCTACACAATGGAAAAATTCAGGGTATATTAGTAAATGAAGTACTCTGGTGTAGAAATAAATTAAAGGTGATGCAAGTGATTAACTATATCTTCTCATTGAGAAGGAAGCAGTTGACACTGAGCAAACAATTGTTCTCTTTAAAATCACGGACTTGCCACATGCGCAGTAGGCGGACATCATTGGGACTGAAGTTTTTCATCTATTGCATCAAGGGTTGTGTAGGAGAAGGAGGCAATGGCTAAGTCGATATCATTTGATACCAGAGAATTGTTTTTTTTTTGGAATATGAATGACAAAGGACCGAGAGGATTATGAAAAATTTATAGGGTAAAATAAAACTGATAGGAAATAAATGGTAATAACTCCATTAGAAATTATGGGTTTTGGAATTAGTTAGGATTGATAAAATAATTGATGAAAGAAACGTTTTTTTATCGAAGAAGATACGTTTTGGTTTTGTTTTTGAATCATTATTGATTCCAAATTTAACGGGGCACATAATCAGGGATACACTTATTAATTAATTTTACCAAACAAATGGTAATTAAAATGATTTCAATTTACAATAAATGTGATAATATCTTTGGATTAGTCAAAACCTAATAATCAAGAATACTTCTATTAATTATTTTTACCAAAGGATCCGTAATATCAAAATGATTTCAGTTTACAGTAAATGTGATAATATTTTTGAATTAGTGAAAATTGATAATTTTTTTTTGTCAAAGACAGCTAAGGAATTTGAATAAACCCGGGTTTGAGGAGTTGGGGGGACGGATCTTAGAGATTTGGTTGAATTACCCTTAGATTGGACAACGCCAAAATTGGGACTGAGGAGACGACGGAGGGTTGCGGTGAATTACGGCACTCTCGCCATTGCAATTGCTTCAGTTCGCTGTCGACTTCACTGTTCCAGTTGCTTAAATTCACTGTCGACTTCACCGTCATCGATATTTAAGCTTGAGACAGCATTTCAAAAATATGAATGAGTTCGATGATGACATTACCCTCATCGTTCCGTAAGTACCTTCATCGATCCATAATTTTGGGGGTGGACAGGAAAAGAAAGAGGAAAAAGGTAAGAGAAAAA